ACTAGATTGCATATGTTCTGGACCAGAAACCAGAGTTGATGTAGTCTAGCCAATGCAATTTATTTTCTTCAATGTCTTTACTAAAGTTGAACAAAAAACGATTCGTAACCCTTTTGGTACTAATGTTGGAGAGTTGTCCCCGGTCAAGTGGTCCCTGGTCAAAGTGGTCCCTGGTCAACAAAAGGCTGGGAACCACTGTTCTAGGTAGTGCCATTTTGCCAGGTTGTCTTTTGATCTGCCCACTCCATTACGGAGTCTGTTCAGGACTTCTTGAGTGTTGAACCTGATGTTTCCAAAACCATGCAATGCTTCAAAAATTGAGCTCTTAATGACATCTTCTCCCATGAACCTAATGTTGAAGGGGTACAACAACAAATTGTATTATACTGGATTCTACAAAACCATACCACAAACCCATAGTAGTTTCAAGGCAATTAACAACCCTGCTACATAACAACCAAGCCTTACTTCCTTGATACTCCAATTCAGCAGGAACCAAGTATTTTGCCCAAAGCAAGAACAACAACACAAACCTATGGTGCACCTTGTTAGAACAAGAATTGGAGCCAGATACCCTCTAATTCTAACTCTAATTTCTATTTCTGGACAAGAACGCCCCCAATCCCCATGGAAATATTCAGAAGATTTGGAGATGTTGTTGCAGAGTAGCTGGTGTACTGGATTGCCGTTCCAGATTCTAAGCCACCACTAAGCCATGAAATTTACTGGGTAACTTTGGGTCACCAAATCTCTCCCAGCTTGATCTATCGAATAGAGTTGTTGCTAGAATAAAACAGGGTGAAGGAGTGCCATGAAGACTGCTTTCATTTTACTGGAGGAAGTTCAAACCATAAAGGCCACAAACAACTAAATGCCTTGAGCTCAACCGTCCTGATCCTAGTCTCACGAAAACAGAATGTTCTTACTTCACATCACAAACAAACTTTGCTTTCTAGAAGGCATTGCATGCACACACTGATCCTATTGCAATCAAGACATGATCTCCTCCAATGACTCACAGCATGGTACGTGGCATATTTGCCCACACAAATTAGATCTATTATGCTATTTATTAGCAGCGTAGAGGGGAGTTTCTTATTTCCGCATTAAAATCCCTAATCTGGAGCGTACAGGAAAATAGAGGCAAGCTGTCACTCAAAAACATGCCTTTAATCTATATTCAACTGAAACAGGGATTAGTTTGGGAGATGAAACAGTTGTCATGTGTTCATCTAAACCTCAGCCATGGCCTCTTTTGATATCCATAAGAAGGACTTTGTTCAATTCCTGTAATATCCTATCTAGTTTGGCAATAATAATACTGGGCTACTCTGCAGAGCGATTCCAAAAGACATAGAAGTTAATACATGCAGAGATCTAAACATGCTTCAACATGAATCTTGTGGCTCTCAATGACTCAGATGAGGAGAAAATGCAACTTTTGAAATCAAAGAATGTTATTACTGACTAGGCATGAATACTATCCACATGAAGAGATCATCCAGTGCTTTGGGGTTGGGTGTTTCCAATAGGCTGATGATAGGCTGTTCTAGCTCTCCCTTACATCTGGTGCAACTGTATGTATGAGAGTAAATAGAATGCATCTTAATACAGCTTAATACTCCTTGTAAAGTTAAGTTGTATGATAGTTGTAATAGGCCCGCTCTCAATTATGGAACTCCATAACCAAGATGTCACACTGGCACCATTTCTTTTAAACTTCCAACAAGTAACCAAAATAGTACATGGCATGAATCTTTGAAACTGATGTTTTAACACTACTGGAGAAGTTATACTGCTTAGCCGGTATTGAACCAGCTTACATCAGTCAGGAGGTAGCAGCCAATAATGAAAGAACCAAGGCAGTGACATCTCCGGCCCATCCTCTGTTCGGATATCGGCCAGCACACCAACACCTTAAATGCACAAATAGCTTCCTAAAATCTATAGAGATACTTTCAGGAACACCTCAGCAAGCAAGAGTCCAAAAGTGGCAGGCTAAAACCCAGGAACTCGATCCATGGCTGATACCAGTTAAAAGATTCCTCCTGGGCTCACAGAAGACTGGTTGACTTGGAAGGTGCTGAATAGACGGCACTCTGGCACCACGATATGAGGAGTCTATATTCAGAAATGGGGCTACAAAGTGGAGTCCACGACATGTGAGTGTGGAGAAGAGCAAACCACAGACCACCTACTACCAATGCAGTTTCTGATACGATAAATAAATAAACAAACAAATACTTGATTTGAGGATTGTTTTAGACTGCTTTTGGAAGTTTTTAAAGAGTATTTAATGCTTTATCTTTTCATGTTTCAATTGGCTTTTATTTATTCATCACCCCAATGGGTCCTAGTGGGCTGGGAAGCAATGCAGGAATACTTTAAAATAAACAAACAGACCCATAATCTGACCCTAAATACAATAAGCATCACGCTCAAGTAAATTCAGAGGTCAAAACTATCACCACCCAGCTGCCAAAGGGCATAGCCACAATTTTTCAATATAAAAAAGATCAATTCCTTATGAGTTCCCAAAATTAGAAGCCGTTATTGCAGCTCTGGCAAGTTATCAATTCCTAAACGCCTATTTGGAAGCATATGACAACCACCAAAATATATTATGCAGAGACAATTTCACATAGAGGTACCAGGGAGAGAGAAAAAACACAGAAAAGTTACACTTAATCCTATTTTGAAAACCTAGAAACATCATAGAATCATAGAATCAAAGAGTTGGAAGAGACCTCATGGGCCATCCAGTCCAACCCCCTGCCAAGAAGCAGGAATATTGCATTCAAATCACCCCTGACAGATGGCCATCCAGCCTCTGTTTAAAAGCTTCCAAAGAAGGAGCCTCCACCACACTCCGAGGCAGAGAGTTCCACTGCTGAACGGCTCTCACAGTCAGGAAGTTCTTCCTCATGTTCAGATGGAATCTCCTCTCTTGTAGTTTGAAGCCATTGTTTCGTGTCCTAGTCTCCAGGGAAGCAGAAAACAAGCTTGCTCCCTCCACCCCAGACACCAGGCATGAACAAACTTGGGCCCTCCAGATGTTTTGGACTTCAATTCCCACAATTCCTAACAGCCAGTAAGCTGGCTGAGATTTCTAGGAGTTGAAGTCCAAAACACCTGGAGAGACCAAGTTTGCCCATGCCTGATCTACACAGTGCAATTAATGGAGTTTGACACCACTTGAATGACTGTGCTATAGAATCTCCGGGGTCTGTAGTTTGGCGAACTATCAGCATTTTTTGGTAGAGAAGGTCAAAGACTTGCAAAACCGCAATTCTCAGGATTTGGTAGCATTGAGACATGGTTGTTCAAATGGTATCAAGGTACATTAATTCTACAGTGTAGATGCACCCTTGGAGATAAAGCAGCGACGCTATTGTCATCATAGCCTGCTTATGGAAGCCCATAATGTCACCGCCATGGACGCATCTTCTCACTCAGAAATAAAGACAGATGGACCTAACAATCACATCGCTCTCCCCTCTGCTCAGTCCCTGTGTTTGCTTCTCAGCTCAGATTCCTCTCCTCCTGGCCTTCTCCTTCATCCATCTGGACCAATCTTTGTTCCAACATTCCCAAAGTCACCTCCTTCCCTTTGCTTGCTTGTCTGCTTCTTTCTTTCCAATCCTTCCAAAGCCCTCTTGCCCATCCCATCATCACCCCAAAGGACCTTCCCATGTCATTGTTGTGGTGCCTCAAAGGGCTTTTTCCATCCCCATGAAGTCCTTTAAGGCACCGCAATGCAAACTGCAGCAATTATCAAAGAGATGCTATGTTCTTATGCCACATCTAAGAAGACTTTTTTTCTTTCTTTCTTTTTCCAACATAAATTAGTATCGCTTAAGCCACAAAACAGACAATGCCGTGCAGTTATCCGCACTGTATGCTTCAATCCATGACCTAAATCCTTTTTTTGAGGCACTTATGTGAAAGATGGTGGGCGCAGCCATTTCCTCTTCGCGTCCCGCTTTTCCACAGCTGCAACCCAGAGCAGCGTACAGACACGTCACTTTGCATTTTGCAGAAAGGAGATTAAAATAGCAAAGAGTTGCAATCCCCCCCCCCCCTGTAATTATGACTGACGTACACAAATCGCTGTTCACGTGCCCAAAAAAAATGCAAGAGCGAACGCATCACACAAGCTATGGGTTTTCTCAACCAGCATTTCTTAACATTTCCCATGTCATTCCAAAAAGGGGGCTAAATCCATCCACGGAGATGAAGAAGTGGCTTCAAAAAGGCAAGGAAAAGCCGCACAAAATGGAAAAAGGGGGGAACGCTCCCACCAAATAAATGAAGAACACAGCAAAAGCTCCTATCTACATATGTAAACAAAAAGAAACCGGAAAGCCTTGAACTGCTGTGATTTTTATTTAGATGCAGATCAGGGGAGAATTTTGTTCCAGATCTACAGCTCCGGCTCCGTTCTCTAAAATACCCAACTTGTAAGTAGCCGCTCACCTGCAGCGAGTAAATAACTACCCCCAGGCGACAAGGGAGGCAGAGCCTTTGTAGACTGGAAGTGAATTGCATTCCTTCCATCGAGCTGTCAACATGCCACACGATGTGACAAGCCAATGTGAGTAAATAAATTGTGGACTTATTCACAAAGCTGCAAGACATGTCTCTGCATTCAGCTCTCATAACAGTATATTTCAATAAATATATTACTTTTCCTTTTCACACCAAGGTACTGCTCAGATGGCAAATGATGCCACTTGCTTGTTATTTACACAAATCAAGCCTCAATGGCAGGTTTTTGGCTGTTTGCATTTTTTTCCCAAACCATTGATGTATTTTTTTTTCCGGCTCTTGTAAGCAAATATTCGCACTTTAGGAAAAGGGAGTATGTTCCACAGATGTCAACCAGATCTGCCGGTTGGCAAGAGCAGCGAGATTTCGAGGGAGGGAGAAAATGTGTTATAAGCCACACACGCCTTTGCATTCTGTTAAATTAAAATTAAAGAACGGACACATCTGCTCACCACGTGTGTTGGTCGCCATGTCAGCCACTTTCTGAAAGGCATCCAAGAAGGCAGCTGCTGCTACTACCGTCGTCCTAAAATACAGTCAGATAGCCCAGTGTTAGTAACAGCTTGTCATAGTCTATTTTCATCACTTACTCACGCAAAAAAAAAGAGAAAAAAGAAAGTTATATTAAGGCGGAAGAAAGAATTGAGTGGGAGATTCAACAGTAACGACAAAAATAAAACCTACTGTAGGTCTTCTCAATCACGTTTATGCTTCTCTATCTCTCTTGGTTTGGAAAATAATAAAATTATTTTCTACTATCCTAGAAGATATTTAGCATACCATTCTTTTGCAACACTGCTATCACTAATAATGTGGTTTACTGCAACCTAAAAGACATATTTATACTCTCATATGCTTCTTTATCTCTATCTCTCTTGGTTTGGAAAATAATAAAATTATTTCCTACTATCCTAGAAAATATTAAGCATAACATTCTTCTGCAACACTGCTATCACTAATAATGTGGTTTACTGCAAACTAAAATAGTAATTTTTAAAGACTCGGACCCTGGACTACAATTCCCATTATCCCAATTATTAACAGGATAACACAGAGTGCATCTACACCACAAATGGGAAACTTCGGCCTTCCAGGTGTTTTGGACTTCATCTCCCACAATTCCTAACAGCCAATAGGCTGTTAGGAATTGTGGGAGTTGAAGTCCAAAACACCTGGAGGGTCAAAGTTTGCCCACGCCTGATCTACACTGTAGAATGAATGCAATTTGATCCCAGTTTAACCTCTGTGATTCAGTGCTATAGGATCCCGGGGGTTGTTTTTGGTGAGACAACCTCACTCTTTGTAAAGACCTTGTAAAACCACAACTCCCATGATTCCACGGCACTGTTCCACGCCAATTGAAGTGGTGTCAAACTGTATTAGTTCTACTGTTTAGATGCACCCAGAGAGTATAGTCCAATAAAGTCTGCGGATCTCACAATGGAAAGGACCGTATCAGAGAATATAATAATAATAAACTAAAACTTTATTGGAGATGGGGAATATTTTGAAGTATTTTACCATATATAGCAAAACACTATCAGCAGTACTGGGGTCCCTTTACATATTATTCCTTTACAAAAAAAATTAGAATAACACATAATATTTTGCAGTTTGGATACAAAACGTATGTGAGTCATACTTTGGCTCAAGAGCTGAAGATTAACTCCACTTTTGAGCCAAGTGTAGATCTGATGACAAACCCCAGTTTGCTATTGTCTAATGTGTTAATCAGCTCCAGGTATAGAAGGCTAGGAAAAGAAGAAGGAAGTCAAAACAAGTTGGGTCACAAACTCAAGCAACTACTAAGGGGCATTTTTACAACCAAGCTATTCTAAAAGAGTTTAAATATGTGTTTTTATTGTGCAACGGGCCCTCCTTATCCATGGAGTCTGTGTTTATGAATCCAAACATCTACAACTTGAATGCATTACTTTAAAATTCCAAAAAGTCAATCGTGATTTTGGCATTGTATATAAGGGGTTCTGTTTTACTAAACCACTGTGTATAATGGAACTTGAGATTTTGCTTATTCCTATGGTGCTGGCAGAGCCTTCTTGGTGATTGCTCCCAAACTTGCTGTGATTTCTGGGAGCTGTAGGCCAAAAACATCTGGGGACCCCAGGTTGAGAACCACTGTTCTAGAGCAATGGTTCTCAAACTTTCTAATTTGGGAGCTGCAGGTACTCAGCATTCTGAACTCCACCAACATTGGAATTGAACCAAACTTGGTCCTGTCTTATACTCTCTAGCACAGTGGTTCTCCACCTTCCTAATGCCGCAACCTCTTAATATAGTTCATGTTGTGGTGACCCCCAACCATAACATTATTTCCATTGCTACTTCATAACTGTAATTTTGCTACTGTTATGAATCGTAATGTAAATATCTGATATGCAGGATGTATTTTCATTCACTGGTCCAAATTTGGCACAAATACCCGATACACCCAAATTTGAATACTGGTGGGGTTGGAGGGGATTGATTTTGTCATTTGGGAGTTGTAGTTGCTGGGATTTGTAGTTAACCTATAATCAAAGAGCATTCTGAACATTGCAAATACTGAACAGGTTTGGTGGGCATTGACCTTGAGTTTTGGAGTTGTAGTTCACCTACATCCAGAGAGCACTGTGGACACAAAAATGATGGATCTGGACCAAACTTGGCACGAATACTCAATATGCCCAAATGTGAATGCTGATGGAGTTTGGGGAAAACAGACCCTGATATTTGGGTGTTGCAGTTGCTGGGATTTATAGTTCATCTACAATCAAAGAGCCCCTTGAATCCCACCAACACTAGAATTGGGCCAAACTTCCCAAACAGAACATTCATGACTAACAGAAAATACTTCATTTTCTGATGTTCTTTGTCAACCCCTCTGGCACCTCCTCGCAACCCCCCTAGGGTCCTGATCCCTTGAGAAACGCTGGTCTAGAGAGGATAGATTGGCATCCTCCTTGCTAGCTTTTGTGGGCAAGTGAAGGCTTTTAATTTTTTGGCAGGACTGACTGTTTGGCAGAAAAATGCATTTCATGCTTATATTTTATTTTCTTTTTTAATGGTTTGCTTTTAACAATATGTAATTTTATTGATTTCTAACTTTTGTACGATGTGATTGTTTTAAAGCTGCCTCTGATGTACCTTTTGTAAGCCATCTTGACCTCCTAACTGGGGAGAAGGCAGAGTATAAATAAATAAATATAAATAAATAAAACCAATAATTCTCACATATGCCAGTGCTCCAATACTGACTGACATAGCAAACACATAAGAATATATAAATGCCCATCAATCTCACTAAAAAAATTATTATTTATTTATTCATTTAATAAAACATTTTATCGGAACATATATCCAAGGACTTCAGGTCTACTGGCACAATTCTATGGTCTACTACTGCTGGAAATTACCATAGAATAGCATTGAAGAACCTAGACATTCCTAATGGCAAGACATCCAGACAAGACTGATGTACTCCTGGTCAGTCGAAAGGCTGAACAGGGTATAGGGTTAGAGTCTGTGTTGGATGGGGTTACACTCCCTGCGAAGACACAGGTTCATGGCTTGGGAGTTCTCCTGGATTCATCACTGAGCCTGCAACCCCAGGTCTCGGTGGTGGCCAAGGGTAGCTTTCGCACATTTAAAACTTGTGCACCAATTACACCCGTATCTTCTTTTGTATGAATGTTTGTGCGGCATCAAATTGTTGCCTACTGGAAGCCACTCTGAGACCCCCTTCAGGGTGAGAAGGGTGGGGTATAAATATAGTAAATAAATAAATTAATAATGAGGACTTCTGTCCAGTAATCTCTACCTCAGGGGTCTGGAGAACAAGCCCTATGAGGAGCAGCTTAAGGAGCTGGGCATGTTTAGCCTGAAGAAGAGAAGGCTGAGAGGGAATATGATAGCCATGTATAAATATGTGAGAGGAAGCCACAGGGAGGAGGGAGCAAGCTTGTTTTCTGCTTCCCTGGAGACTAGGACGCGGAACAATGGCTTCAAACTACAAGAGAGGAGATTCCATCTGAACATGAGGAAGAACTTCCTGACTGTGAGAGCCGTTCAGCAGTGGAACTCTCTGCCCCGGAGTGGTGGAGGCTCCTTCTTTGGAAGCTTTTAAACAGAGGCTGGATGGCCATCTGTCAGGGGTGATTTGAATGCAATATTCCTGCTTCTTGGCAGAGGGTTGGACTGGATGGCCCATGAGGTCTCTTCCAACTCTTTGATTCTATGATTGTATGATCCTCAAACTAAGGCCTGGGGGCTGGATATGACCCTCCAAGGTAATTTACCAGGCCCTCGCTCAGGGTCAACCTAAGTCTGAAACGACTTGAAAGCACACAACAACAACAACAACAACAAGAATCCTATCTCATCAGCCAAAAGCAGGCCCACGCTTGCCATTGAAATACTAGCAAGTTTATATATTTTTTAATTGTTCTTCATTTTAATCATTACAAATAAGATATTTGCAGTATGCATAGGAATTCATTCATGTTTTTTTTTAAATTATAATCTGGTCCTCCAACAGTTTGAGGAACTGTGACCTGACCCTCTGTTTAAAAAGTTTGAGGACCCCTGCTCTAGGTCCTCCAGCATGAAGGGAAGAAGTTGACCCTTGAGTCATGCTGGAAGACCAGGAGATGTCTAGAGAGAACATTTTAAAAGAGAGACAAGAGAGGAGATTCCATCTGAACACGAGGAAGAACTTCCTGACTGTGAGAGCTGTTCAGCAGTGGAACTCTCTGCCCCGGAGTGTGGTGGAGGCTCCTTCTTTGGAAGCTTTTAAACAGAGGCTGGATGGCCATCTGTCAGGGGTGATTTGAATGCAATATTCCTGCTTCTTGGCAGGGGGTTGGACTGGATGGCCCATGAGGTCTCTTCCAACTCTTTGATTCTAAATCAAATCTGCAAAAATCAAAAATGCAAATGTGGAGGGAGGGCTGTACAAGCATTACATCAGTAAATCCAATTTACGACTGTCTCAAGAGGGGCAATCCTGCATGAGATACACCACACAAATCTGCTGATCCTGTGGCATGGCGCTTGGTTGAAATTTTTGACAAGGAAATGAAAGTCAACCAAGTTTTCCACACAGATCAGCAAGAGAGACATCTCCGTTTGCAACCAACAGCCCTTTCTTCCCTTTCCTGCATGGAACTAGTAGCAGCAGCCAGTCCCCAGATTCTTACCCCCAGCAGACAGTAGATCCGGACTTCCTAAATATAGCGGGTACTTCATGAATAAGTAGGTCTTAAGGACCTTGTTCACCTTAAAAATTCATGCTGAAGTGTTTCCTTCTCTGCTGTAATTAACTGCATATTCAGATTTGAAATTTAAGGAATCTGGGACATGACTTTGGGGATAAACTACAACAAGAGCAGCAGGAGGAGGGAAATAAATCAACATGGCCCCAAACTCAAGCATTATCTGAGATGGGATTAAATCGTGCCTCTGAAAGCATCTCATGAGCACCTTAGATCTTGCAGGTCAGGAGAGGAATATTTTAAATAAGACACAGTACTGATTGATATCCTGTGTCTGAA